AGTAAAGGGGTCCCTTATTCCTGGGCAGTTGGTGCTCTTGTGGATCCTGAGGGCAGCAGGGGGATGTGTGTGTTCCACTCCCTCCCGTTTGAGCTGTTCCGCTAGTCCGGGTGCCAAGGTAGACCAAGGGAGGCTGAGGGTAAAGGTGAAGGGGAGGACAGACTTAATTTAATTCCTTGGTCTTAGCATAGGGCAGTCTGTCCTGTCTCCATCAACTCCTCAACACTCGCCCACATGTCCAGTCCCTGTGGGAAGCCAGGCAGTGGAAGCAGGGTTCAGCTGACACAGGTCTAGCCTGTGTGACTGTAGGGGAGTGCCCAGCTCCTTAGTTTCCTCTCTTCCCATTCTGCATATGGCGCGTGGTTTTCTGAGGCCAGCTTTATAGATGGAGACTGAGATGCCAGAAGACGAGAGAGTCCTTGAGGAAGCAGCGGCAGGGAGTGGAGCCCGCTGCTCTCCCTCCTCTAAAGCTGCCTTCTGACCCCAGTACTTCCTTGGCCCTTTCTTTCTCCCTTAAGCCAAAGAGGCTGAGCTGCCGCTCCAAGGTCACACAACTTGGCTTGGGGGAGCGTAGACTTGAACCCTGGCCTCTTGGCTCCTGGCCTCACTCACCACTCTGGCCAGCAGGCTGGGTCTGTTCCCCAAGTGAGTCATGCTCCTGGACTTTGGCCTCCTTGTCCCTATCCCTAGTTCTGTGGCCTGAAGTTTGGAGAGGGGGCCTTTATAAGGAAGAGGGACAGCGACAACCTTCACAGCAAAGGGGAGCCTAGGCTACTGCGCCGCCCCTCCTTGAGTTCTTTAGAAATGGAATGGGCGCCTGGGAAGGTGAAGATTCCTGGTTGTCTGTGTGCCCTGGCTCCCTCCCCAGCACTGCTCTCCAGCAGCCTGCTGCCTGGCTGCTGGGTTACCTCCTTACCTCCTCTCCTGGTGTCCAGGGAGCAAGGTCACACCCAGAGCCCTGTGTGCCTCCTCCTCCTCCTGGGGCCAGTAGTGTTTGTCACTGGGGCAACGTGTGGCTGTGCCTGGTTCTAGCATTGCTGGGGTGACATTCATGCCCTGTGAGCTGTGACGCTTCTGCAGGCAGAGGACAGACAGCACCACCCAGGCTGGCGACAGTGCTGGAGGAAGGATGTGGGTGGGCTGTCACCTGTCCAAAGCAGGCAGAGGTGGTATGTTGTGTTTAGATGAAGTGGGGTGGGGTGGGGGGACCTCAGAGAAGGACATGGTTGTGTCCCTGCCTCAGACTTTGGTGGGTGGAAGAGAATTGTCCCATGGTGGGGCTGTTTTGGTTCACTGCATATGTTAGGATTTTGTACACCGTAGACCCTGTCAGTGGGTAAGTGGTGCCTGGTTAGGTGGTAGCTTACACTGTTGTGACTGGTGACAGCCGGACACCTGCCTTGTGCCACCCAGGGGTATCTATCAGATACAGCCATCTCATGCTTCCAGGGAAGCAACAGGTTGTGTGCTTAGTTGTTCCCCTAGGGAAGGTTGTCGGTGACTACACCTGTCTCTGACTGTCGTGGGGAGTGGCATGTATGATCAGCGCATGCTGTTGGGGTGGTCAGTGAGTTAGCTTGTCTCCCACCTTAGAGAGACAACATACTAACTACCCTGTGGTATGGGGCTGACAGTTTGTGGGGCTTCCCCATACATACCACAAGGCCCCCAAAAGGCTGGCCAGGGGAACTAAGCAAGCACAGTAGAAGGTGGGAGTCTTAGTGTCACATGACCTCCCTTCTGACCCTAGTGCCAGCCCTTGGGACTGTGTCCCAAGAGAAAGGACCCAGTGTTTTTCAGATGGTGTGGGAAGGGGCCTCTGGGGCCTAGGCAGGTGTGTGACTGAGGAGGTGGAGCACCAGGCAGGGCTTGCATGAAGGCTGTGTCCCCATAGGCCTAGGGACCCTGTTGCCTGCCTCTTCTGCCCCTGAAACTGTTAAACTAATTAAGGCTGTGGAGCCGCAGGATTAATCGGGGCAGCTCACACGGACTGGGGCTCAGGTAGTCGATTAGTGCGCCGCGGAGGATATTGGATTTCTGAACCGCAAGTCAGCACTATTCGGGTCTGTTATCTCCGAGGCTTGAGGGTCAGCAGGCGGGAGGCTCAGGCACTGGCTGCCCCCACCCACCACCCGCCTGGGCATCCACTTCCCTGCCTATGAGGCCCTCACTTCGCCTCCCCGCTCTGTCCGCCCCACCATCCTCTTCAGGCTTCTGTGGCTCAGCCTGGGCTCTGGGTTTCCTCTCCACTGTCACCTCTCCGCCGGTCTTCCCTTTGCTACTGTCCTCTCTGGGTTCTTGACCTGAACTCTGTCTGGGGCCTAGCCCAGCTTGCCTCCTTGTCCCTGTCCCTCGCTGTCTCTGTTCACCTTTCTCATGACCAGCCTCTGCCTTCTGTCCTTGTCTCTCTGACTCTTCCTTGCTTCCTCTGGTGCTTGCTAGAGAACACCCCCCCCTTCTCTCTCTCTCTCTCTCTCTCTCTCTCTCTCTCTCTCTCTCTCTCTCTCTCTCTCTCTCTTGTGTGGTCTCTGCTGGTGTCTGCAACCAGAACAAATCTCCCCCAGCCAACACCCCTGAACAAGGAGGCCAAAGCAGCTAATGGGAAACATGTGATTCTGCCTTGCGCCTGGAGCACCGTGAAGGGAGCCTCAGTCCCAGCCCAACCCCGCTCCCCTTGCCACATTCCCTCACCCTCCCCCCAGCCTGAATGGGCACAGTTGCATGTACCCTAGTTATTTACTGGGGGGATGGCATTTATCAACTGAGGGATATCAGGATAGAGAGGCTCTGAGGGCACCCGCTCCTTGGGTCTCCTCAGCCCCAGGCAGACGCCTCTCACCCACCCACCATATGTAGAAGAAGGCCAAGATTAGCTGAGCTATGGGAGCCAGTCAGTCACTGGGGTTGGGGGCTCACGCCACCCAGAATCCTATCTTTTTTACCTTTCTGGGCCTCTGGAGAACTGTGGCTGTGGGGGCTCCCTGAGGGCTTGGGAGCTGCTAGGCTGCATTTCTGTACCCACCCAACCACAGGGAAGGGGGACGGATCAGAGGGAAGCTCTGGCAGGTTGGAATTCTTCTCTGCCTGTGGATAAATTGTCCCTAATCCAGGCTTGGGGAGTTGTCTGGCTCCTACAGAGAGAGAGAGAGAGAGAGAGAGAGAGAGAGAGAGAGAGAGAGAGAGAGAGCGCGAGCGAGCTCTCAGGTACTCAAGAGATAGTGAGGGGAGGAGGAGGGAAGCCAGCACATACAACACACAGTAACACACACACACACAGCCTCACAAAGGTACCACACAAATGCTGAGGCACCATTGTGCTGACAGGCACGTAGAGCCTCACATGTGTCGACACTGACACTCAGCTACAATGGCACAGATAGATAATGGAATAACACAGGGACCCACCAACATACACAAATACATGGCATACACAGACCCACAATGGTAAGGTCATGCAAATCCGCACATCATACAAAGACACACCCGCAAGCACATGCTGACCATGGCAAAAACAAACCCGCAGGGACACTGTGACCAGTCACACCATCACACCATGACCCTGAAAGCCCACAGAAAGGAAAGGCAGAGGTAGGAGGTGGGCAATGCTGATCTGCAGTGACACCAGCGCCTGCAGTCAAGGCCTGGAGATTGGAAACCTGCAGGGACAGCAGAGGATCTGCCACCCGCCCCCACCCTGCTGCCAAACCCACATCCAAAGAGCTCTGAGGCAGGCAGGAGCTGGCCTGGCTCCTGACACAGTGAGATTCAGTGAGCCAGGCACAGTGTGTACATACACGGGCACACTCACAGCTGGGCACACCTGTCACAGGCTCAGCTAGATACACATGCAGAGCTGAACAGAATAGAAATTGAGATGTGCGCATACCCACAAGTGTAACTGGAGACACTGGAGTCTCGTAAACACTGACTCAGCTGATGCACCAGGTCCACACTGGTGTGTAAGCTTTATTGTGGTGCTGGGAGTGGAACCCAGGGTCTCGTACATGCAAGGCATGCGCAGTCTTCACGCACTGGTGCCGACATTGAAATGTAGAACGGTGTGGCAGGCAGAGTGGAGCCAGCGACTCTCACACAGGTGTGTGTATTTACTCAGATGACCGAAAGTCAGAGTTGTGCATTTATAGACAAGGGTCTCACACACATGCACATTCCCAGGCAGCCAGAACCTATGCGTTTCCGTGAGCCTTGTTTCTTACTTAGACACACACACAAACCCGGCTTCAGGGGGGCAGCCAATGGGCAGGCAGCGGGGGAGGGTGAGGAAGACCATGGTTATTAAGGAAAACAAGAGGTCTAAGGTCTGAACGGTTGCTGCTGCAGATGGGCAAGCAGCAGCTGCGTGTGGACCTTCGTGGAAACAGGCACTCTCCCACTCGAGCAGCGGCTCCCACCTGCACAGACAACAGGCCCCAGCTCCCTGGAGCTTGTTTTCCCTCTCGCTCATAAGATGGAGCTCCCCATTTTAGGGATGAGGAAATTGAGACCCATAAAGGATACCGGATAAGGGAGTTTTGCTAAGGGGAGGTTCCCTCCTCTGTGTCTCCTGTCTGCAGTTTGTGTACACATTTGAGTACCTAGACATGCAAAGACTCCTCTTCCAGACAGGAGCCTGGGGTTGTAAGAGACGACTCAGGGCTGGAGAGATGGCTCGGCTTAAGAGCACTTGTTGCTCTTGCGAAACCCTGGGTTCCATTCACAGTACCTATCTAGTGGCTCACTGCCATCTATAACTCCATTTCCAGGGCATCTGAGCCCCCTCGCTGACCTGTGGGCACCTGGCATGCAAAAACAAAATATAATAATTAAATCTTTAAAGGATTAAAGGGGGTGGGAAGGTATTCAATTCTGCAGTGAGATAAAGTCAGAACTGGACTGGTATTCATGAAGAAGCATGCCTTCCTGACTCAGTGGCCTTCTGCCCTTTGCCCTCCTCATCCCGCATCCACGCTTATCTTGGTGTGCTGTGTTTGCTTCTACAGATGGGAGCTTGCCTGATTGTCTACTCATCGGCCTGGACCCCAGAGCCAACCCAGCTGAATGTGTGTGGAGGGTCCCAGGTGAGGCACACGGCTCAGGGCTCTGCAGAAACACCCTGGAGAATCTGATGCTGGTGGAGACAGACCTTTCCTGCTGAGCCAGGCCTCTGCAAAGCCTGCTCAGGTAACTGAGAAAGAAAGTCGGGCCTGGGACAGCTTACTAGCGGGCCTGGGACAGCTTACTAGCGATCTGCTCTTAGCTTAGGCAAAAGAGGTGGGGGGTGGGGGAGAGAGGGACCCTTTAAGTCAAGAAACCGGTAAGTCTAGCTTACTCAACCTCCCCATTATCCAGAAAGGGGAATGGGGACTTAGGGATAGACAGCGAGTCCCTTAGAGTCCTGCCTTCTAGCCCGAGGACTCTTCCCTGTGCCTTGGTGACCTGAGAGAACTGGGAGGAGAAATGAGTTGTGACTGTGACCAGGATTCAGGCCAGAGGTGGAAACCAGAGTGCCTGACAGGCGCAGCTGAACCCCCTGGGACACCTCTTTACTGCAGTCCTTGGAAGCACGGAGCTGGGAAGCCAAGCTGAGATACTGGGAGGGTCTGGTAGTCCAGGTGTGACTGCAGCCGGCTAGACTGCGGGTCAGTGGTAGGACCCATCTTTCTCATGGCCCAGGTTAGCCCACCCAGGCTCCCAGCCACAGAGGCCAGGTGGGGCTGCCCTGCCCTGCAGAGGCAACTCCCTGAACTGACACATGAAGCCTCGGGCTCCAGGAAGCTCCTTAGAGTTTAGCCTGCTAGGAACCCCACCCAACTTCCCAAGGAGCATTCCTGAGGTCTGTATGGGGGTTGGGCCTCCAGGGATAGGAAGGGTGGGGAGGCAGGGCTGTGGGAGGATGTGGGGCTGTAAATGTACTGGGACTGGGTTTGTGTGCAAGCAGGTGTGCAGGGCTCTCTGTCCTTAGTGCATAACAAGTTATGTGAGTGGCCTCGGCTGGATAGTTCAGAGCACATGTTAGGTGTGCCATAGTGGTGACTGCACTGGATGTGGGTCCCGTGCAGGTGTGGGCATCCTAGGTCGTTCCTTCCACACAGGGTGCTGCTGGAGAGGTGTGTGGTCAAGACTCAAATACCCTGGGTGGGCTTGGTGTGTGCTTAGGGTTCTTGGTGCTAGGTGAGGTTGCATGTGCTTCCTTTGTGCTTTGGAGGTGGGCTGGGTAAGACTTGGGCTGAGCTGGGCTCAGCGGTGCCCAGCCTAGTGGCCAAATTGCTGAAGTCACTTCCTTTCCAACAGTGACTTTCCAGGGGGAGGAGTTCTTCCGACCTGGTCGGCAGCAAGGGGCGGGGCAGAACTGGCTCTCTCTGGGGAGGGACATGGGCGGGGGCGGGAAAGAGGTGGGAGGAGGTGCTAGTGGTACCGGAGGAGGGAGTCCTCCGGGAGACAGAAGGAAAGACAAGGACAGGAGTCTGGAAGGGCCAAGGGCAGGAGGGGATGGGGGTGGAGTGGGGCGGGAAGCACAGTCCCTGGGTGACCTCGGAGGGAGGAAGGGAGGGCTGCCAGTGGGGTGACCCTCGGGTCCAGTGAGAGCTGGCAGTGGCGCCTACACACCTGGCACCCAGGGCAAGGGGCTGGCAGGGGGCGGTTTAGGAACAGACCTGCTTGCCAGGTGCCCCACTCTGGACAGGAAGAGGGTGGGCGGGGGCTGCACAAAAGAGCTCTGTGTGTCTAGGGATAGGGTAGGGTGGGGTATGCGGTACTGTACCGTGCTGGGGTTGGGGGGGGGGGAGCTGGTGGCTCGGGGGCGGGGCAGGACCAGTTCCCCTTGGGGCATCAGTGGCTCCGAGGGGACACCTAGTGGTCAGGGAAGGTAGTGCATCTTGGTGACAGGTAAGAAGCTAGGAAAAAGATAGGTTAGAACAGATAGTTAAGATAGTTAGGGGAGGCGAGCTAGGCTGAATCTCTGGGTGGTGAAGCAATTTGGTCTAGAGGATCCCACCTACACAACAGCAGAGTTGAATGGCATGGCTGTGTGTCCTTAAGGGCATGACTAAGCCTCTCTGTGCTCACTTTTAAATCCAAAATAAGTGACTAGTTCATTGTTTTGCTCAGAGCTGGGACTGTAATCTGCTTACTAGACGGACCTGCAGGTTGGGTGGGCAGTAGGAGCTAAAAGGAAGTTCCTGAGAGGGAGGTGGCTAGCCCTGGGAGGTAAAGCCTTCCCGCTGAGAAGAGGGGTCCTGAGGAAGTATTCAGAACAGCAGTGTTTTTCACTGCTAGGAAGCCTGGGACATCCTCGGGCCTTCAGACCAGCTGAGGGAGATGGGGGTGTAGTACAGCAGTCTGGAGAGAGGGTCATGAGGCCGGAAATGAGAGCTGGGGCTGGCAGCTTGGCTCCCCTGGGGAGGTTAGGGGTGGGTGAGGGGAAGGAGGGCTGGGGAAGGGGTGGGGTGGTCACAGCCACAGCGGGGGTGGGGGAGGGTGGGGCTGGGGATCAAGGATGTGGGCTGGTGCTTCCCGGCACTGTACTCTGCAGGTTGGGGCCCCCCTTCTAGCCAGCTGGTGTCCCTGTGGGCAAGCTCAGACACTGACCCGGGAACAGACAAGCAGACAGAGGACCCTTTTGACTTTTCATTCACAGACTTGGGCTTGGTGGTACCTTTGAGAAGAGGCCAAGAGAATGGCTGCCTGTTGGGGTGTGGTGGGGAAGGGAGCCAACTGCTTCCCTCAGATCCTGAAGGCTGCAAAAGAGCAGTGGACAGTCAGGAGGATGTGGCCAAAGGTCTTCATGGGTGGGTGGAGCAGAAGCAACCACTGGAGAGGTTTGTCTCTTCTGCCAAGATCACACCCTCAGGCCCCAAGTGGGAGGCCTCCAGAGCAGGAAGGCTGCTGAGCCCCACCCACGGCAAGGGAGGAATGGTGGCTGCGGGTAGGTAGCTCTGAAAGCCTTGGTGAGCTTATTGCTGGAAATGGACTTGGAGATTCAGAGTCTGAGCTGCTTCCATGCTTTGAGGCAGATCTTATTCTGCAGTCCTAACAGGCTTGGAACTCACTCTTTATTCCAGGCTGGCTTCGAACTCAGAGATCTGCCTGCCTCTGCCTCTTGAATGCTGGGTTTAAAGGTTTGTCCTTGCCTGGCTTTTCCAAAACTCTGAAGGTGTTCTCTCTTCAAAAATAGCAGTGCTAGCTAAACTCACAGACTGTAGTTTGTGTTGTCAGCACTGGCAGAGGCAGGAGGATAGCTGCAAGTGTCAGATCAGCTTGGTCTTCATAGTAATTTCTAGGCCATCCATGACTCCAAATAAAACTTTACCTCCCAAAAAAGAAGGAGGGGGGCTGGAAATGTAGCTCAGTTGGTAGAGTGTTTGTCTACCGTGCACAAAGCCCTGGTTTCAGTCACAAAACATAAGAGTGGGGTGTGGTGGTGTACTCTGTGATCTCATAAGGAGATGGGGTCAGGGGGATTAGAAGTTCAAGGTTCTCCTTGGTAACACAGCTATGTGTTGGAGAATTCCAGGTTACATTGTGTGTGTGTGTCTAGAGAGAGAAGCAGTGCTGAACCACAGCTGTATAAGAGAGATCAGAGCCTTGAGTTAGCAGGTGCATGGGAGGCAGGAGGATGAGGATGGGACAGTGGACAAAAATAGGGACTGACCTGGTGAACAGCAAAAGGGTCCTTCATGTGCTATGTGACCTTCAGTGAAGCTCCCCTGGTTTGGTCTCCTCTTTGGTAAAATGGCACTAGAGTACAAGGTACCCACTGGGGGAGCAGATTAGGATAACAGTTTCCCAGATGTCCCTCAGATGTGTGAGTCAGGCCCTCCTGGACTAGGGCCTGGGTATCTGGAGTGTTACACAGCTCCTCCGCTCCCCCGGGCTCAGGGTTTGGAAGCCAATGGCTTAGATAATTTCAGTGTTCCTCCCAGCCTTAAATTAGACCACAGCTCTAGAAGGAGCCTTTCCAGAAGTGGCTGAAGGGTTGTTGCAGGAGCTGAGAGTGGGAAAGAGGCTTTGGTTTTAAGAGATTTAGGAACTCTGCCTCTGAACAGCTGTGTGGCTTCAGGCGAGTTTCACAAGGGCTCTGGGTCCGTTTGCTCTGTAGCTCCAGGATAGTAAGCCATGCATGCTTCCTGGGTTGTTGTGAAGACTCGGTGGGTCATGTGTGTGAATTGCAAAGTTCTTTCTGCCTGCAACTCCTGTGTGCTACATTCCTTTCCAGATGTTGAAAGATGCAGTGAGTGGAGAGCCTTGCCCTGTTGATGCTTAAAACTCTGAGTGGATTGCATATCGCTGCCTACCACGGGGGCCCACAAGAGTGTCCTTTCCCACAGTGTCCTCTCCCTGAGTCAGCCCTGCATTCTCCCTAGGGGCCGGCACTAGGCAATATGGCACCTGTCCATAGAGCATAAGCTGATGATCCAGCGGGGCTAGGTCAGGACCAAACAAGAGACATGATGGGGGCTACTTTCTCAGACCCTTCAGGAATTGGGGCTCAAGCTGTTCTCTGAGGTCCTGGCTCGGGCTCCGCTCCGAGTCTTCAGGCTCCATTGGGAATCAAACAGGCCTAGATCTAAGTCCCAGCTCTGCCCTGACCAGCTCAGAATCACTCCGTAAATATTTATGTAGCATCCATAGCTCAGGCTCTGGGGTCAGAGGATACAGCAATAAACAAGACATGTGTGATCCTTGCCCCCGAAGAGCGCGCAGTCTGAAGGAACACAGTAAATAGCCAGTCACACAAGTCATTGATTGCTGTTGTGATGAGTACTATGGCGGGGAAATAGACCCCAAGAGGACAGAGGGCCGGACTGAAGAAAGGAAGGACGTCAGAGACTCTCTGTACAGCCCTGGGCACCTGGGACTCACTCTGTAGACCAGGCCTTGAACTCAGAGATCTGCCTGCCTCTGCCTCCCGAGTGCTGGGGTTAAAGGTGTGCGCCGCCACCGTCTGGGTCCTTTCTACATTCTTGTCATTCTTTTCCCCTCAACGTCTCTGTTGGGTCTAGAAAAGAATAAGAAGAATCTTCATGAGAGCCAGACATGGTGGTGCATATCATCTGTAAGACCCTGTCTACTGCCCTGTCTTGAAAAGCGGGGCTGATGAGATGACCAGTGGCTGAAAGTGCTCATCCTCTGACCTGACAACCTGAGTGTGGTCCATGGGACCCACAAGGAGAGAGCTGGCTTCTGCTAGTTGTTCTTTGACCTCCATACATACACAAGCACGTACATGTACACACATGCACACAATTAAAATGTAGTAAAATAATAGCTGAAGAGATAGCTGTTTAGAGCATTGGCTGCTCTTGCTCCTGGTTCCGTCTCCAGCACCACCACATGGTAGCTCACAGCTTCCTGTGGAGCTCTAGTTCCAGGAGATCTGATGCCCTCTTCTCTCCTCTAGGTACCAGGGCATGTACATGCTATATATACATCAGTACAGGCAAAACATGATTTTTTTGGTGTAATAAACATGAGCTGTTGCAGACTTGGGGAGCTTCATGCATCAGGAGACGAACCTCTTCTAGATGGTGTCTTTAAAAGTGGGCAGGATAATAATTGATTTCTGTATGGTAGGGAGGTTAGATGAGATGACCCACTAAAGTACTTAGCCTAGGGTTAGCAGTAGAAAAAGTGTCCCTAAAGTACAGGCTTTTATTGTCAGCTTCCTGGTGGCTGCTGGACCCTTGACCCCAGGTGCTCTCTTCACTTTCTCTGTAGCTCTTGGTCCAGTGATTATTTTAATATCTGACTACCCAGGCCTTGTGCAGAGTAGACATTCCATAAGTAATGAACCTATGAATGAATGAATGAGCGAATGAATAATACTTCATGTCTGAGCCTCCATTTCTTCATCTGCAAAATGGGGTTATTAACAGCCCCTACCTCGCAGGATTGGTATGAAGAATTAATGAAGCAATGCCTGGACAGCTGACAGCCCAGTGCCTGGCGCGCAGTAGGTGCTCACTAAACCTGAGCTGCCGTGGTCCTTTCCAGGCGCTGTCCACGTCCCCGTCCCAAGGCCTGGACTCAGGCCGAAGTGGCTCCACAACACCCCCAGCCGACAGCCAGCGACTGGCAGAGTCCCCAAGCACGGGGACCCTCTGTTTACCAGGTCAGTCGCGAGGGGGCACTGAGGGAGCTGGGGTGGGACTGTGCGCTAGTAGCAGGGTTTGGGTGTGGACCCTAATTCATGTGGAGAATTCAGATCTGTTACGTGTCTTGTTGCCCACAGAGATATCCAGTGTGACAGCCCAGGCGGCAGAGCCGAGGGTGAGTGCACCTTAGGGGATGGGGATGAGAGGGAAAGATACTCTGAGAGTTGGTCAGTTCTATGTGGAGTGGTCACCTTGTCCTCCTGCTAGGCCTCCTTCTCCGAGACAACAGGGATGCTGTCAAAAGGAGTTCGCTGTGTATACTTGATTGAAGACCTGCCAGCCATCTGGACTTGGGTCAGGGGCTGGAACATAGTGGAGCAATCAGTGGAACCCTAGAGAAAGGGTCCAGGGTCTCGATAGGGGGTGGGAAACTGAAGCCGGCTCAGTGAAGGACTTCCTGCCTCTCTTTCCCTGGCAGGTTCTGGTCCCTGCTTCTCGCACCCTCATGTCAGCCCCGGCCCCGCCTGGTGGCCCTCGGAGGACAAGGTCAGGATGCGTGTGAAGCCCCAGGGCCTGGTGGTGACTTCCAGTGCCGTCTGCAGCTCTCCTGACTACCTCCGAGAGCCCAAGTACTACCCCGGTGGTCCCCCAACCCCCCGGCCCTTGCTGCCCACCCGGCCCCCTGCCAGCCCACCTGACAAAACCTTTTCCACCCACACCTTCTCTGAGAACCCACGCCCACCCCCACGCCGGGACCCCAGTACCCGGCGTCCACCAGTCCTTGCCAAGGGAGACGACGTGCTATCCCCTCGGGCAGCCCGGCCTGTCTCCCAGGCCCACTGTCCCACACCGGCCCCGGACAGCAACTCTCTCCGCCACTGGGACAACGGCCGTGTGAACCTGCGTCCAGTGGTGCAGCTGATTGACATCATGAAGGACCTGACAAGGCTGTCGCAGGACCTGCAGCACAGCGGTGTGCATCTGGACTGTGGTGGGCTAAGACTGAGCCGCCCGCCTGCCCCACCACCCGGTGACCTGCAGTACAGCTTCTTCTCTTCACCCAGCCTGGCCAACAGCATCCGTAGCCCCGAGGAGCGCGTCACCCCTCATGCCAAGTCAGAGCGGCCCAGCCACCCCCTCTATGAGCCTGAGCCCGAGCCCAGAGATAGCCCCCAGCCTGGCCAAGGCCATGGTCCTGGAGCCACAGCCACAACTACTGGTCTGCCCCCAGAGCCTGAGCCTGATGGGCCTGACTACTCTGAGCTAGCAGATGCTGACATCCTCAGCGAGCTAGCCTCCCTTACATGTCCTGAGGCCCAGCTCCTGGAGGCTCAGGCCCTTGAACCTCCATCACCGCAGCCTGAACCACAGCTCCTGGACCCCCAACCCCGTTTCCTAGACCCGCAGGCACTAGAGCCTCTAGGGGAAGGTTTGGAGCTGCCACCCCTGCAGCCTCTTGCTGATCCTCTAGGGCTGCCGAGCCTGACTCTACAGGCCCTAGATACCCTACCTGACTCCTTGGAGTCCCAGCTCCTTGACCCCCAGGCCCTTGACCCCCTGCCCAAGTTGCTGGATGTTCCTGGTCGACGTCTAGAGCCCCAGCAGTCCCTGGGGCACTGCCAGCTGACTGAGCCCTTACGCCTGGACTTGTGCTCACCTCATGGTCCCACTGGTCCTGAGGGCCACCCCAAGTACGCCTTGAGGCGCACTGATAGGCCAAAGATCCTGTGTCGCCGGCGTAAAGCTGGAAGGGGGCGGAAGGCAGACTCGGGACCTGAAGGTCGCCTGCTTCCCCTGCCCATGCCTACAGGGCTGGCAGCTGCCCTGGCTGAACCCCCACCGCTGCCACCACCTCCACCACCTCCTACTCTAACAGGCCCAGGCCCAGTTCCTGAGCTGGAGCCAGAGTCTTCTCAGACCCCAGTGGTCCCCACCCGCAAAGGCAAGTGCAGGGGTGTACGGCGCATGGTGGTGAAGATGGCCAAGATCCCTGTATCTCTAGGGCGGAGAAATAAGACCACGTACAAAGTTTCATCCTTGAGCAGCAGTCTGAGTGTGGAAGGCAAGGAGCTGGGCTTGCGGGTGTCGACAGAGCCCACCCCATTGCTGAAGATGAAAAACAATGGCCGGAATGTGGTGGTGGTCTTCCCTCCAGGTGAGATGCCTATTATTCTCAAGCGTAAGCGTGGCCGCCCTCCTAAGAACCTGCTGCTGGGTCCTGGCAAGCCCAAAGAGCCTGCTGTGGTAGCTGCCGAGGCTGCTACTGTGGCAGCCGCCACTCTGGCCATGCCAGAGGTAAAGAAACGGAGGCGGCGAAAACAAAAACTGGCATCTCCACAGCCGTCGTACGCAGCAGACGCCAATGACAGTAAGGCTGAGTACTCTGATGTCCTGGCCAAGCTGGCCTTCTTGAACCGCCAGAGCCAGTGTGCTGGGAGGTGCTCACCGCCCCGCTGCTGGACACCCAGTGAGCCTGAGTCAGTGCACCAGGCCCCAGACACCCAGAGCATCTCCCACTTCCTGCATCGTGTACAGGGCTTCCGGAGGCGAGGAGGCAAAACGGGGGGCTTTGGAGGCAGGGGTGGAGGCCATGCAGCCAAAGCAGCCCGCTGTTCCTTTAGTGACTTCTTTGAGGGCATTGGCAAGAAAAAGAAGGTGGTAGCAGTGGCAGCTACTGGGGTTGTGGGTCCTGGCCTCACCGAGTTGGGGCATCCACGCAAAAGGGGCCGAGGGGAGGTAGATGCTGTGACTGGGAAAGCCAAGCGCAAGAGACGGTCCCGAAAGAACGGGACTCTGTTCCCAGAGCAGGTGCCCAGTGGCCCAGGCTTTGGGGAGGCAGGTGCTGAGTGGCCTGGGGACAAGGGTGGTGGCTGGGCCCCTCACCATGGGCACCCAGGAGGGCAAGCTGGCCGAAACTGTGGGTTCCAAGGGACTGAGGCCCGGGCTTTTGCCTCCACTGGACTGGAGAGTGGGGCTTCAGGCCGTGGCAGCTACTATGCGGGTGCACCCTCGGGCCAGACGGAGCTCAGCCAGGAGCGCCAGAACCTCTTCACTGGCTATTTTCGCTCCCTGCTTGACTCGGATGACTCCTCTGACCTCTTGGACTTTGCCCTGACCTCTTCAGCCTCTCGCCCAGAGTCCAGGAAGGCATCAGGCACCTATGCAGGGCCTCCCTCCAGCGGACTGCCTGCACAGCGGGGTCTTGCCACCTTCCCAAGCCGGGGAGCCAAGGCTAGCCCAGTGGCGGTGGGCAGCAGTGGAGCTGGGGCAGACCCCTCCTTCCAGCCTGTTCTGCCCTCCCGTCAGACCTTCCCACCAGGACGGGCAACAAGCTACGGGATAACCCCAGCCACTTCAGACTGCCGGGCAGCTGAGACCTTCCCAAAGCTGGCTCCCCCTCCTTCAGCCGTGGCCCGCTCACCTACCACCCACCCGCCTGCCAACACCTACCCGCCTCAGTATGGTGGCTATGGGGCAGGACAAAGTGTGTTTGCCCCAGCAAAGCCCTTTTCAGGCCAGGACTGTGCTAACAGCAAGGACTGCAGCTTTGCCTATGGCAGTGGCAACAGCCTTCCCGCCTCACCCAGCAGCGCCCATAGTGCTGGCTATGCCCCACCACCTACTGGGGGTCCCTGCCTGCCACCCAGCAAGGCATCCTTCTTCAACAGCTCTGAGGGGGGCCCCTTCTCTGGGTCAGCTCCCACACCTTTGCGCTGCGACAGTCGAGCCAGCACCGTCTCACCCGGTGGCTACATGGTGCCCAAGGGCACCACAGCTTCTGCAGCCTCTGCCGCCTCCTCCTCCTCCTCCTCCTTTCAGCCCTCACCTGAGAACTGTCGGCAGTTTGTGGGGGCTTCTCAGTGGCCTTTCCGGCAGGGGTATGGCGGCCTGGACTGGGCCTCAGAGGCCTTTAGTCAGCTCTACAATCCCAACTTTGACTGCCACGTCAGTGAGCCTAACGTGATCTTGGACATCTCGAACTACACGCCGCAGAAGGTGAAGCAGCAAACTGCCGTGTCCGAGACCTTCTCCGAGTCGTCCTCCGACAGCACCCAGTTCAATCAACCCGTCGGTGGTGGTGGTTTTCGGCGTGCCAACAGCGAGGCCTCAAGCAGTGAGGGTCAGTCCAGCTTGTCTAGCCTGGAGAAGCTCATGATGGACTGGAATGAAGCATCGTCTGCTCCCGGCTACAACTGGAACCAGAGCGTCCTCTTCCAGAGTAGCTCCAAACCTGGCCGCGGGCGGCGGAAGAAGGTGGACCTGTTTGAGGCCTCACATCTGGGCTTTTCAACATCTGCCTCGGCCACTGCCTCTGGCTACCCATCCAAACGGAGCACCGGGCCCCGGCAGCCGCGGGGTGGCCGGGGTAGCGGGGCCTGTTCAGCCAAGAAGGAGCGAGGTGGTACAGCGGCTAAAGCTAAGTTCATCCCTAAGCCACAGCCAGTTAACCCACTGTTCCAGGACAGCCCAGACCTTGGCCTGGACTACTATAGCGGGGACAGTAGCATGTCACCGCTGCCCTCCCAGTCAAGAGCCTTTGGGGTGGGAGAGCGAGATCCCTGTGACTTCATGGGACCCTACTCCATGAATCCGTCTACACCTTCTGATGGCACTTTCGGCCAAGGCTTCCACTGTGACTCTCCCAGCCTCGGTGCCCCCGAGCTTGATGGCAAGCATTTCCCACCGCTGGCACACCCACCCACAGTGTTTGATGCTGGCCTGCAGAAGGCATACTCACCCACCTGTTCGCCCACGCTCGGCTTTAAGGAAGAGCTGCGGCCACCACCTACAAAGCTGACTGCCTGTGAGCCCCTTAAGCATGGTCTTCAGGGAGCTAGCCTGAGCCATGCAGCTGCAGCCCAGGCCCACCTGAGCTGCCGGGACCTGCCGCTGGGCCAGCCTCACTATGATTCCCCTAGTTGCAAGGGTACAGCCTATTGGTACCCACCAGGTTCAGCTGCCCGTAGCCCACCCTATGAAGGCAAGGTGGGTTCAGGGCTGCTAGCTGACTTCCTGGGCAGGACGGAGGCTGTATGCCTCAGTGCCCCTCACCTGGCTAGCCCACCAGCCACGCCCAAGGCCGACAAGGAGCCACTGGAGATGGCCCGGCCACCAGGTCCACCCCGCGGCCCTGCTGCAGCCACTGCTGGCTATGGCTGCCCACTCCTTAGTGACTTAACCCTGTCCCCTGTGCCGAGGGACTCGCTGCTGCCCCTGCAGGACACTGCCTACAGGTATCCAGGCTTTATGCCACAGGCACATCCTGGCCTGGGTGGGGGCCCTAAGAGTGGCTTCCTGGGGCCCATGGCGGAACCTCACCCTGAGGACACATTCACCGTCACCTCCCTGTAGTACCAACTGAAGTGCCGACTGGACCACGAGGTTTTGTTCCTGGGTGAGTCTGGGGATGTGGGTACTGAGGGCAGAAACCTGAGGGGTAGGGCGGGAAGGTGAGGGTGCTTGGTTATGGGGAGAGCTGTTTGTGAGGGATGATGGCGTGGTGGGACTCACCAGCAGGAAGGAAGGACTCAAAATGAGAAGTTGTGTAGTCTGAGGAGCTTGTGTGGGAGACCCAACAGAATATTCAGAAGTCCCGATCACTGTAGCGGTAGTACCATAAATTGCTTAAGACCAAGCTTTCATTTCCCCCTCGTTCTTGCCTGGGTAAGAAGTACCACTTATCTTATGAAGGAGGACATTGGCCTCCCCCTCAGAAGAAAAGAGTGGGCCAGTCACCGGCTTGGGTTCTCTAGGCTCCTGTGGTGGAGCTGGTTTGCCTTGGCACGTGCTCCACGGGGACTTTACCAGATGGCCCAGAGGATTCTCTCTCTCCTGTCCTCTTCTTAAAGACTTCTTAAAAACATTTAGACAAGGACTCACTTACGTGCACTCCCAGATAGCCACCTGCCGTGCTCCTGAGAGCCGGGATTCAAGTTGTAACATCTTGGGCTCAATGTTGGTTTCGTGTGGTCAGGCCCTCTGGGGCAAGGATGGAGGTGTGAAGAACAGAGCCTTCTCTGCCCCAGGAAACTGCCACCAGTGGGTCTGTCCGCCGGGAAACCGGTCCCTTCCCTCAAATGCTTCTCCAGAGTTCAATCAAATATTCGGAGACACTTTGCCATTATTTCTGTCAGGTACCTATACCTTCATGGTTGCAGTCTGTTTTAGTGTTTTCAGGAAAATAAAAGGCAGAAATGTTCCCGTATAACTGGAGAAAACAGTGGGGTTAGAAGAATTATCTTCTAGAAAGAACAGTTTATTTCAGAATATAGCCACAACTAGACCCACTTTGGGGCAAGATATCTGTCACTGAATGGGCCAGATGTGGCCATTGGCAGTGGAGTAGCTGAGGTCTTGACTGAAGCCTCATCACTCTTGCTGCCCCAAAGCCTCCTGGGTGTTTTGCTTCCTGACGGACTAGCCTGTCCCTGCTCTGGAGAGGCCATGCGAGGCCAGGGTGACTCAGGGTCCTGAAGTAGAGTCAGTGGAAACTTAGGGCTTCCCCTCCCCCCACTTTGCTAGACCCCAGCTGCCCTGGTGCCTAAGGGTGGCAAAGAGCCATTGTGAAAACCAGGCGGCCCCTGGGAACACCAGTCCTCGGTCGGCCACCAGCTTGCTACATATCTGAACTTTTGCCTTTTCCCGGCCTCTGTTTCCCCCTCTGTTTGAGAAAATGGACTTCAGTAGTCTCTTGGGCTCTCACAGGTCTGTATGGTCTGCATAGCGGAGACAATGGCCTTTTTTTTTTTTTTTTTTTTTGGCAGTGTTTTTTCCTCCCTAATGAAGGCAGGCTAAGATTAAAACGGCCTTCCATTCTGCATGCATCTCGCTGCAAGCAGCAGGGCTGCAGATCTGAAGCCGGCCAGAGAGAAGCTGCTTAGGGTTTAAAATGTCAAACTCTTGATCCTTCTCACCGGAGGGGAGATGTCTCATGGATAATCCAGAAATGTGAAATAATCCCAAAACCGTTCCTCCCAGGCTCTGGGATGGAAAATGAACGTGTGGGGGCTGGGTGTTTGGGCAGGTCACAGCTCAGTGCATAATGGAACCACCCAGTGAGGCCTGAATGCAGGAGGAGCTGGGATGCCATCCAGCCCCACATTCTAGCCTGTTCCCCACCCAGCACTGGGAGTTAGCAACACTGTCCTCACAGGGACACATGCAGTTCCAGAGACATCTGTGCAGCCCTCCCCGTGTATCCGGCATTGGAAGCACCACAGACAGGCGCTTGAACCTCAGAGGGCCTCCAGTTCAGAGGGAAAGACGCCAAACACAGAATGGCACGGAGTACTTGGTGGTCAGAGCCACGAGGAAATGGGGGTGCAAGGCCAGCTAGGGGGCTATGAGAGCCTGCAACAGTGTACCCAGACAAGACCTTATAGCTGCTGCCAGCTGATGAAGGGGCTCGCTGGTAGATGGGGAAGAACACTCTGGACAAAGGGAGCAGTAAGCGGTGCGCACAGTCTTGAGGAGGGGAGGGATTTGGCTATGAAGATCTTGCTGATGAGCAGGCAGTAATGCTAAGCAAAGGCCAGGCAGGCAGAGCCAGATCCTGTAAGACACTGCAAGGAATTTGAATCATTCCAAGATGTACAGGGAGCCACTGAAGATAGTCCCAGTGAAACCGGGCAAGTATTGAAAGGAAGGAGACCAGACCAACCAGTCGTGATGGTGGCTTGGACTAAGGCGGTCTGGGCTAGTTTGTTTCCCTTCCCTGGTTAGGATAGCCTACAAGCGCCTCCGTGTAGAGCAAGCCTGCCTCTCGTCCCCACGACTAGTTAAAGCCATGGTGATAGTGAGAGAGGTGAGAGGATGCAGAGGAGAGTGGCAAGGAAGTGGAATTAGAATAGAAGGAGCCGCATTGTCCACAGAAGGCCTAAGCAGAGAAGACAGTGACGGGCTCACTCACCAACAGGTAGTGATCAGCTTTAATCCCGGGCACTGGTGAAGTGGTAATTCAGTTCAGCTGCTCATCTTGAGCCTTTTCGCGCTAACCCTGGGACAGGCACTGAGGAGACAAAGCAGACATGGCTCCTGTCTAGAGATCAGCATCTATCCCAGGAAGTTCAAACAAGCACACAGAGAGCCTGGAAACTCTGGGTAGGAAATGGCAGGTGCCCAGAGGCAGGGAGAAGCTAAGAGTGCACACCAAGCACCGGATGCTGTGCTCAGAGGTCATTCCTCTGTTCAGATATGTGCTGTTCCTTTGTGTGACACAGCATCTTGGGCAGGGAGTATGTTCTTGGCTTTCACTAGAGGTAAGGGAACAGGCACAACTGAGATCTGCCCAGGAATCTGTAGTTTGTCAAACATGGATCCACCTGTGACTTTCAAAGTTTGCCACTCTTCACCCACATCTCCGGCTACAAAATGATGGGTCACATTAGGTGAACCTATGGTTCTTTGGGGGGTGCTGAGTTTTGTTTTGGGGAGTCAAGGGTTTTTGTGAGATAAGGCCTTGCTATATTGTAGCACTAGCTAACCTGGAACTAACTCACTATAGGTGGGGCTGACCTGGAACTTGCTTCCTCCTGCCTCAGCCCGCTGAGTGCTGGAATTACAAGCATGTACCACTGTATCCAGAGGACTAGCATTTTAAATGAATTTTGTGGATTTGTGCTAGGAAGCTGCGCTTAGCTTGAAGAAGCCACAAGATGTGGAGCCAGGGAGGGGCGCTGCAGGCAGTGGGGACTCGGGGCAAAAGCGGGTTTCATCCCAGTGAGAGCCGGGAGGTGAAAGGTCAGATGAGACAGTGGGAAATGTGTGTCCCGGCTCTCTTGAGTGCTGTAGCTGATAGGCAGTTAGGGGTGGGCCAAAGGAGGGGGGCCTTGGGCGCATACAGGCATCCTTTCTAATGAAGAGCAGAGCCAGACAAACTGGCTCCATGTTGGGACCCTTGAACCAAAGATCAACCACACCAGACCCCAAGAACAGAGGTGAGAAGGTGGGAAGGGCCCACAGATATTCAGGAATCTCTAATCCTTCCCCCTCCCTGTTAGCTCTTGGCTCTAAAACTGAGGCCAAGAGAAATGTCACAGGTCCTCCCAGGTTACACCAGCTGGGGCCTGACGGGAACAGGAGGCAGTTTCCAACGCCACCATCCAGCCAGGGTCAGCAGGCATGCCCAGGCCTGGGCCAGGCCCGACTGCTCTGGGCTTTGTCTCTCTGAGTCTTGAATCCTTAAGAGGTCACTTGATCTTGCCTCTGGCTCTGAGCAAGAGGCCTCATGTCAGGGCTCAGCCGGTCCTGCCCTGCTTCCTCTGAGCTCCAGGTTTTCTCGCCTTTCTGAGGTCATCCTCCAGTTCTGCTTGCGTTCCCTGTAGCCATATTTAGGCCAGGCCTTCTTGTTCAGAGCCCCCGCTCCTTGGAAATACCATCTCTCTATGAACATACCTTCTGCTCCTCCTCTCCCTGTACCTCACATCCCTGGTAAAAGCAGAGCTCCAAACTGGCAGGCAGTGGCTAGGAGTGCACGTCTGTGGTCACACAGGCCCCTCACCAGCTAGGTGATCTGGTGACTCACGTAACCTAGTGAGTCACATCATCTCTATCTGTAAGAATTAAGGGGATTGACATGTAAAGCTCTTATCCCTGTCCTGGCCCACAGGAAAGCACCTAGTTGGCTGGTAGATGGGTGGATGAATGCCTTCCCATACTCTGAATTCTGGGTCTTCAGTGCAATCTGCGTGAGTCACACATCTCCAACCCCTGTTCATGACCTTTGCTTGACCAAAGATAACCCTCCTGCATCTGTTTGTCTGCTGTCCTCTAAGGGTCTTGTATTCTGCTGTGGGCCTGGAGCATTTGGAAGCCTGGAAATTTCTCTGGGGCTGGAGACGTAGTAGCTGAGTATGAAGGGTGCTTGCCTACTGTGCACAAGACCCTCGATTCCATCCCCAGTCCTGGGGAGTGAGGGACAGGATAGTCCCAGTGTTCTTTATGTTAGCCACTGGACCAAGTCTAGGGGAGATGTAGGGGCGCTGGGATGGAGGAAGCGCTACTCCAAAGGACTTTGGAAAATCACCCGGGTCGGCTAGAGCCCGTCTTCTCCCCAAACACAAAGCATCTGAGAAACCTTCCTTGTAACTTTAGAGTGTGTTTTCATTTCCCTGGATAGCACTGTCTGCCTTGCCACTGTCCTCTTTGGTGCCATGGTGCCTGTGCTGCTGGGGGTTGGGGAAGTAGATGAAGTCTGTCCAGTCCGCATGAAGTAGCAGCCCACTCTGCCCTGGCCAGTATCCCATGCTCCAGATAGCACTAACCCACGGGCCTAATGGGCTTGTTCCAGACCTCTACTTGAGTACCATGTCTAGGGGAGGGGGCCTCAGCTCCTCCAGCAGCAGGGAGGATCCTCCATGCCAGCCCTTCTGAGCTACATAAGGAGGGCAGCGGGGACTTCCTGGAGCTGGAAATGATCCGAGCAGATGAGAGACTTAGCAGCTAGCGGCCCACTCAGCCAGCTGGGTCTCTGGCCCACCCCCACCCCAGTCCATTCTGTCCGTGGTGGCCGCCAAAGTGCTTGTTGTTCAGCATTTTTAGATGCACGGTGTCTGGAGGCCCCTAAAATATTTATTGGGTGAATTGATTAAAGCACATCTGCTCTTGCGAGCCGCTTCACACCTTTTGATTGTATCCTTCCTCTCCGGCACGACTGTCTGCAGAACACAAGCCCGACTGCCCGGCATGGTGCGGAAGACATTCAGGCCTCTGTCCTGGCATCCACTCCTTTCAGAGAGTTCTCTGCAGGATGCGCCCTTTGCTTTGCCCTGGCCTGGTTGCCCTCTGCTATCCACTGTGGTCTCCCACCTGTCACTGCCAGTCTTTCACTCAGGCGTCACCTCCTCCAAGAAGTGTTCCCTGATCCTTCCCAGGCACAATTAATCTCCAGCTCTTTCTGCATCCTTGACAAGCCCTTTCTGGGAATGTCCCAGCATGCCATCTGTTCCTTTAGGCTACCTGCTCATCTTCGCATTGACTCCCCAACTCCAGTGTCTCACCATTTGGGAGGGGGATATTTCAGGTGTGTGTGTGTGTGTGTGTGTGTGTGTGTGTGTGTGTGTGTGTATCAAGTGTGTGGAGGTCAGGGGACAACTTTTAGGAGTCCTTCCTCTTTTACCATGTGGGTTCTAGGATCAAACTCAGGACATTAGGTTTAGCAGTTAACGCTTCTCCTCAGTGATCCATCTTCACCAGAAGAACTAAGAGAGGAAAGGTCAGCTGAGCATGGTGGTTGATGCATGCCTTCAATTCCAGCATTCAGGAGGTAGAAGCATGTGGCTACATAGAGCGACCCTGTCTCCACAAAAGAACAGGAGGGCTGAAGGTCCCCAAATCTGCAGGAAGTAACCCGAAAAGCAATGTATTGAAGGGTGTGTCTGTGAACCTGTCAGCTCCAGACGAGGTGACTTCCAGAGAGGCCTCCAAGCAGAAACACTGAGTGACGAGAGAGAGACTCTTGGGAGTTACTCTGCCTTCATTATCCACTTTGTCTGTGTGTCTGCATCATCCATGATGTCTGTCCTCACATAGGTCATTTCCTGCACAGAGGGTGGAGACACACTTTGACACAGAAGTGTAAAAGTGTACAAATGTATATATGGGGAGAACTTGTTTTCTTGGGACAAAATAGAATGGGGGGTGGGAGGTGTGGTCACAGCAGATCGGTGGGTATCTGCAGGTAAGAAGCCCTTCTGGTCCCGCTACCAGGTACTGTAGGTCTCGGTGTCTAGCAACAGAGGGGGCTCCCAGAGCCAAAGGTCAAGGCACATACTTTGGAAAGTGGACGAGCTGCCCCACACCCCTGGCCTCTTTGGTTCCAATTGGGAACCCTATGATCCTTCACTGAACCTCTAGTGGTATTTCTACCTATCAGGTGTAGTTAAAGCCCCACAGAAATAGCCTGTACATTTAGGTACCTCATAGGCTTGATAACCTGAAAATGGCAGAGAAGTAGCCTAGTCTTCGGGCAGTTGATTTGTCCTTTGACCCCGCACATCGGGGACACCTAAAGCTCTCTCGTCACCTGTTCAAACCCTTTACTTTGCAGAAAGAAAAGTGAAGCCTAGAGAGGGAAGAGGGGAGAGCAGGGGAGTGGAGGTGGAGCCTGAGCACACACCCTAGCAGGAAGTGGGTGTGAAAGAAGGCTGCTCTGATGGAGGCCAGTGGATGCTCTGTTTATAGGGAGGAAGGCTCTCTCTGGGCAGCCTGGTGTCTGTGTTATCTCTGCCCAGGCAGAGACCACTGAAGTCCCTGGCACCTCAGTTGCTAAACCTGCAATAGCCGGAGGGCGCAGTGAATGTGACTCGGGTTCCTCATGGAGGCACTCAGGTTAAGTCTGAGTAAAAGTGGTTGGCGTCCTGGGGTCGGGTGCATGCTGGAACTCAGGGTTCAGAGGTACCACACACAGGTCTGTGCTCTAGAAGAGCCAAGTAGAGAATGGCAAGTGCACTGGCAGCTATGGTAACAAGGCATTCTAAGGAGGCATCCTAGAGGTGTATGAGAAAGAGCTGAGTGGGACACTCTGACATGCTGACCGGCCTTAGATCAGTCATGGTGCTGTCTGCACGCATGCGCCTTCCCGGCACGCTGAGCTCTGTACTTAGTGGTTAATTTAGAGCTATAGCCTTACTTCCCAGACTGGACTGAATGTTCCTCCTCTTCCTGAGCCCCTCAGGACTTCCCTTGGCACAACCACCTACCTGCATGGAGACTGCATGGTTAGGATCTGTCTGCTTTGCTCTCTCTCCACTCCGGCAGGCTTTTAGGGTGGATCCAGAGTGCTTACCTTCTCTGCCTTGTTCCTAGTCCCTGAGCTGGGTTGCCTGACACCTTAGTATTTGGTTCAGTTTTCGAGAGTTGAGCCTCGCTAGGTCTGTGTTCTATCCAGCATAGCATTCTCCCTTCACCAAGAACACCCCCAGCCTGTGATTCTTCCCCACCCACCATCCTCCCCCAGATTCTGCCTGAGCCCCTGGCTGGCTAAGTCCCGGAAGCTGGGAGGGGAAGGTGGGAGGAGAGGTAAGGTGCTCTGGGCAGCTTAGCAAGAGGGTGAGAAAGCCTCCTGCTGCCTGGCCGCAGGCACCATGGGAAGGTTCTGGCAGGAACCGCCTGCTGGGCTGAGATCACCATGGAGACCTGGCTTGTAGAGGGTCACTGGCAATGGCTAAGGGCTGGTGGGGGTGGGAGTGAAGGGGATTTATGCAGAATTTGTGCTCTGGACCTTTGAGGGGAGCAGGCAAAGCTGGGTTCATCACTGTCAGCATGCCAAGTAGTTTGCAGCAGCCCACCCTCTCTCTCCAGTAGTTCCCTCAGAAGATTCTTCCTCTTGGCAACTGTCCTTCAACTGCAGTGGAGCCAGCTTCTGGGATGAGGCTTCTCCAGTGCTCGCTGAGCCTGGCACCCCACACATCAGTCCTTTTTTCATCTCTGCAATTGGTCGTGCTTGTCACCCTAACTGTAGAGAGCTGACATCCATCCCTGCAGCACCCCTGCTCCCTTTTCCTTACTACCCCAGTTGTCTACATCTGTCAGCTCACTGGCGCAGTGGCTTACCTACCCCAAGACTGTTGTGGTCCAGATCTGGTGTCCCGAGCCCTTAGCCCTCACTCTCTTTTATGCTGCTGGCCTAACCACCAAGATGGGGTGCCTGCTTCCCTTTCCCTGCAGGAACCCACCTGGTGTCCCTGGCTCTCTGGGGTATCCTGGCAAGTCCAACCAGAGGACAAAAGTCATCCCTGGGGCTGATTGCCCGGCAGACAGCAGCTGAGGCTGAGCAGAATGCCAATGTGTCCCTACTGGAGAGGAAAGCTAACAGAGTACATGGGAAAGGGGCTTTCTGTCTGCCTGGCTCCTGCGGCTGTGGGAGGCGACAGGTGGCACACAGAGGACACAGAGGAGGAGACTTAGGGGGCAATTTAGCACCCCAGCCCTACCCCTGACCTCTGTGAGGCAGGCAACCTAATGGCCCAGGGTTCTGGGAATGACCTAAGCCAGCCTTGTCTTGGCTCATCCCTTATAGCAACAGAGCTGTAGATCGGGGGGAGGGGGGTGCACACTGGTGGTCTGGATAGAGACAATAAGTTCCACACACCTGATCAGAACTCTCTAGCAAAAAGAGGTACCTTAGTGGTTGTGGGGTCTGGGGAGTTTCGAAGCCCCTGGAAGGCAGGCAGTGTTTCCACCAAACACAGATGGCATTGTGCTGGGTGAGTTCTTCATTCCTTCGTTCAGGCTGGCTTCCTCATCAGCTCGTCTCTCCTAGGAGCAGAATGGATGAGTGGGGTTGGGAAGAGGGGTGGAGTAAAAGAAATAGAAGCAGTGTTTCACACCTGTGTGGTGCTGTGCCCATTATTACAACATTTGGAAACTGAGGTTTAGAGAGCCCGTCTGGCCCCGGGAAAATAATAAAAGTGAATCCATTTTTTAATGTATTACACATCTGTGTTCAACCTTTCTGTCTTAAACACTGGATCCAGCAACAAACCTAGGAGGGTAGTCCCATTGCCCCCTCCTTTGCTTGTGTGTTTTTTAAAGCAGAATCTCCTGTCACCGGCTCTGCTCATGAGTACTAGGGTGACAGGCTACAATCGCACCTGGTTTATGCCATGTTGGGAATCAAACCCAGGGCTTCATATATGTTGGGCAAATATATCTAACTATACTAAACGAAATAGATCCCAGCCCTGGTTGGTGTTTTGAGCCAGTCCTGCTGCAGCTCGGGCTAACCTTGAACTCAAGATCTTCCTGTGTTAGTCTCTTAGGTGTTGGTTATGGGTGTGGGCCGCCATGTCTGGCCTTCTAGTATCCCTTTCACACTAATGAGTAAAGGAAGCTAGGTGCCTTGGCAGGTGCCTTTAAATCTCATACCTGGGGGGTAAACACAAGTGAATCTCTTCAAGGCCAGCCAGAGTTCTGTGGTGAGGCCCTGTCTCACACACAACAACAACAAAACTTCAATGAGTAAACAGGCTTTAGCTCCTACCCACAGTCACAGAACTTTTAATTGGTGGCGCTGGCTGTGAGCTCAGCTATCTCTAACTCCACAGCCCAGACTCTTAGTAAATCCTGCTCTGGGACTCCTTCCTTCTTTCCCTCCCTCCTTCCTTTCTGTCTGTTTTTGAGTTTTTTAAGGTAGGATTTCTGTTCTCTGTAGCTCAGGCTATCCTGGAATTCACACGATCCATCCACCTGCTTCTGCAGCTTGTCTTCACTCTTGGTATGATCTTGGGCGTGTATATGTAGAAAAACCACACCTGTATTGCAGTTCTCAAGAGGCTAAGGCCGGGAGAATCAGGAACCCAAGCTAGCTTTGGCACACAGCGAGTGTGAGGCTAACCTGGACTATATGAGACCGAAGAAAAGTACCTCCACATTAGGAAACTGAGCTTGGAGAAGTCACGTGGGGGCCTGCCTGGAGAAGGAACAATGTTAGCGTCTCCAGAACTTTCAGTGGGAACTGAGCCAAACCTGTTTTTAGCGCGCCCCCCCTCCCCCGTGTCTTGGAGTTCAGTGTCTGCCCACTTCTGACTTCTGCCTCTTCTTTTGTGTTTCTTTGCAGCTTTCAGAAAACCAATGCCAAGACCCCTCCCAGCGTCCACATCGTCCTCTGGCAGGAGCACCTGCCCCTCTGCCTCCCACCTGCCCTTTGCACCCCTGCAGCCCCATATCCCACCCCACCCCTCCCTGCCCATCTCCTCCACGCAGAAGCCGAAGGTGAGCCCTTTCTGCACAAAACCAGCAATTGTAAATACTTTTTAAAATGTACAAAACTTAAAAACAAAACACAGTTTTAGAAAAAGACAAAAAAAAGAGAGAGAGAGAGAGCGAGAGAGAGAGCGTGTGCAAGAGGTTGCGAGCGGGGCTTCGAGGTGTCCAGAACCCCTGCAAGTGTGCACTGAGAAATTTATCTACAGGTCGTTTGACAAAAATGAACAATATCCTATTTATTGTATATACTGTTTTATTATAAATTGTGGATTGTATATTGCATTCTGTAAACCTGCTGTGGTCCCGTGGTGTGCAAATTCGCATGGTGGGGGGAGGGAGGGAGAACCTCTTTTGGGAGCTTTTTTTTTTTCTTTTTTTTTTTTTTCTTTTTCACTCTTGGGTTTTATCTTCTGTTGTTGTTGTTGTTTTCTGTTGGCAGGACACACCCAAAGATACAAGTTTGTATTAAAAAGAAATGAAAAAAAAGCAAAAAAAAAAAGCCACCTTGTGTCTTGTAAAACAGAGTATGTAAGGTTGGACGGACTGAAGGGACACAGCTGGGCTTTGTTCCCGCCATTGGTCCTCCAGAAGAGTTGAAGTACCAAGTGTGTTCCTGTGTCCCCTATGTCTGAGTTCTCCCACTTGCCTGCTGTCTATCTGGGCATCCTCCCCGCCCCGCCCAGACGCTGTGCCTCTCCTACCTCTTCAGCACCTCCGTCTCTAGAACTTTAAAGATGTATTTATGTTATTTATGTGTATGAGTGTTTCGGCTGTATGTATGTATGTGCACAGCATGTGTGGTGCCTTTAAAGGTCAAAAAGGGGCATGGGATACCCTGGAACTAGTTACTAAGCAGTTATCCTGCCTTGGGATGATGAGACTCAAACCCAGGTCTTCTTCAAGAGCAGTAAGTGTTTTTAACTGCCAAACCACTGTTCAGCATTCCCCGTTTCTATCCTCAATGGGCTCCTGTGGCTCCCAAATCCTGGTTTCCTCCCCCTGAGGAGTCCCATGAGAAGCTTGGCCTCCATCCTCTTCCTCTAGATTCCCCACCCCACCCCAGGACCCTAAGCCTAGTCATTTGTCCTGTGTCCCTGTCCTTAAGGCCTCGGGGTTCTATAGTAGTTCCATGATGCTAATATTTTTTTTTTATTGAGGTAGAGTGTCTCTATTTAGCCCCAGCTGTCCTGGAACTTGCTATGTAGACCAGGCTGGCCTTGAACTCAGATCAGCCTGCCTTCACCTCCTGGAATGCTGGGATAACAGGCATGTGCCATCACACCCAGCAATACCAATCTTTGAAGCATTCCATAGTAAATCCACAAACCTTTGGGACTAGAGTACATGACCTCCTTGCATGGCTGAAGTAGTCCCTGCTAAATGTCGTCTATCCACCCCAGGTCCTGAGTCTCCCCTATCTCTGGCCCCTACCCCTTCCCTTCATTTACTATGACTTACCTATCTGCTTTTGTGACCAGACACTCTAATGTCCCATCGTGTTCCTCTTTCCTTCCATCCTGAATTCTAAATGCTATCTGTATGTGTCCTCCCCGCTTTGGTTAACAGAAGAACCAGATTACTTCTTACTCCCTGACCGTGGCCAGCCTGGCTCTCCATTACTTAACTCCACAATGTCCACTTTGGCTTGGTCTTTAGGGTTTTCAGGAACATGTTTTCCTGTGACCCACTTGACATTGAAGCTCTGCTGAGTGTGACTTCCCTGTCCCTCTTCCTTAGTGACAGTGATGTCATGCCATGGGGTCATCAGGGGAACTCACTGAAAGACAAACATGCCCCCACCTTCCCAGTATCTGCCTGGGAGAGGCAGAAGGATTCACAGGTCACCATCCCTGAAAACTGCTTCCTCTGTTGGGTGTAAAAGCCATCTGCTGCACAGCCCCCTCCACACAGCCTCGAGATGCAGACCTTGGCCTACCCTTCCTGCCTGCTGTGGAGAGACACCACCACTCTCAAGCTGACAGTCCCCTGTGGAGCTGGAAGTGGGGGCAGGAAGCAGTAAGACCTGCTGAGAGGTCAGGTCGTGGAAGGGGCTTTCCAGAGGAGAAAGCTTTTTAAAAGCCACGCCTAGGGTGGCAGCAGAAAACTGAGTGATTTCCTAAGCAAGAAAGACATGTGCAGAGGCCAGAGGTGGGAGAGGATAGCAGGAGGCGGAAGCCCCGGGTTAGGCCTAACTTCAGTAGACAGGACACGTGCTCGGGGAGAGCCCAGTGGAAGACCTGGCAAGGTCACTCAGGCAGGGGTGGAGAGGAAAATGGTAGAAATGGATTGAGCATCAGAAAAACGCAGGCAATAACTGCGTTATTTAAGTAGCTCAATGACGGAATACAGGCCTGGCCCTGTAAAACAAAAAGCAAAGTCACCCCAGGACTGCTGGGATAGACCAACCCCAAAGAAGCCTGTTTGCTGCCTGAAGAGAGAAAATGCATGTATTCGTGGCTGCTGAGGGGCAGAAAGGGGAGTCTAGCCAGGTGGAGCGGGCAGGTGAGGGGGGCTGGGCTGAACGGCGTCTCTGGCAGTCAGGGTTCAGTTAGAGGGTGAGAGCTCTGCACAAGATGGATATCGGGGAGAGGGAGGGCAGTGAAAGGTTGTGTATATAGTAACTAAAGGAACTGGGGTGGGGGGGCCATGAAGGAAATCGGAGCTTAGAGCAGAGAGGAGGCGCCTAGGCTTGGAGAAAGGAGGGCACTGGGAAGGGGCTTTGTGAGAACCCAGATGAAAGGGGACAAGAGGGAAAGAGGTGTCTGAGGGTGCAGCCCAGTGGTAGAGCCCTTGCCTAACTTGCACAAGCACTGATCAACAGTACAAGAAAAAGAAGTATTAGGGGGAAGGAGGTGCTAACCAGCCTGGTAGGCTCTGCTGCCCAGCAAGGGCTCCAAGGTGTGTTTTGGAGGTCTGGGGATGGAATGTCTTTCAGGCCCTACGATCCCCAAGGAAAGGGCAGCTAGAGACCCTGCCTAGGTAAGTGAGGAGTGATGGAGATCACTCTGTTTTGTTCTGTTTTCAGAGGTTGGGGCTTCACCACAGCCAGAGCACCACACCTGGTTCCAGAATGCATCATCAGAACTACATGATTCCTATTTGGGAGGGTGAGACAGGAGGATCTCAGGTTCAAGGCCTGGGCTATAAAAGAATTCAAGCCAAATGGGCAACTTAGCAATACTTTAAAAAAAAAAAAAAAAAAAGGTGGCAAGATGACTTACCTGGTAAAGAGATGCTTGGTGGCAAGCCTGACCACCTGAGTTCTAGCCCTGGAACCCGTGTGGTAAAAGGAGAAAAGCTATTCCTAAGAGTTGTCCTCTGGGGCTTTCACAAACACACCATGGTATAAATAAAGAGATAAGGGCTGGGACCAGGCAATGGTGGCACATGCCTTTGATAGCAGCTCTCGGGAGGCAGAGGCACGCAGATCTCTGAGTTTGAGGCCAGCCTGGTCTACAAGAGCTAGTTCCAGGACAGCTTCATCTCCAGAAGACACTTGGGGAGATGTCAGTGGGGGTAATCTGGGCACAGTGACACATGCTTGTCATCCCAGCATAGGGAGACAGAGACAGGGACATCCTTGGGGCCTGCTGACCTGCCAGTCTAGCCTACTTGGTAAGTTCCAGGCCCGTGAGAGGATCCTGTCTCCAAAAGAAGATGAATGGCACCGGAGAGAGACACCTGAAGTCGCTGCCTGGCCTCTAGAGGCAGGTTCTCAGATGCGGGCACACAGGAATACACGGAGAAGGATGGGAATATAATGATATAACATAGCTCAGTAGTAGGGTGCCTGACAGGCGGCCTGCATTCAATAACCAGCGCCAATCAAAAAAAGATGGTGCCTGCATGGTTCGCACTTGGCTGCCATTACTAACACTGCTCAATAACCAGCACCAAATAAAACAATGGAGATGGTGCCTGCACGCTTTGCATTTGGCTACCATTGTTAACGCTACGTTCAATAACTAGCTCTAAGTAAAAGAAAAGGCGGTGTCTGCATGGTTTGGCTACCATTGCTAACACTTGTCCAGGGTGTCCATTCTTCAAGGTAATCTGGAATCAAGAAAAGATCTTCCCACTGTTTATAGATGATAAGACGGGTTCTCAGTGACTTGCCCCTGAAGTGACTTAGTCCAAGGTCATAGGGAAAATGGCAGAAGTAGATCAGCCTGAAGAATGACCAAGCCTTTGGTTTGTTTTTTTTTATAGACTTAATGAAAAACCAAATCTGAGCAAGACAGTGGTGGCACACTCCTTTAATCCCAGCACTCAGGAGGCAGAGGCAGGCGGATCTCTGAGTTTGAGGCCAGCCTGGTCTACAAGAGCTAGTTCCAGGACAGGCTCCAAAGCTAGAGATACCCTGTCTTGAAAAAGAAAAAAGAAAAATCTGTTCAACGCAGGACATGGACACAATGGTTAGCATGCATGAGACGGGGCCAGGGCTTGAGCCACAGCGCAGGGAGGGGCACTTTTAAAAACTACAAATTAATCCATTCTATAGTAAAAGGTTCTAGGCCAAGATACAACTCAGTGATGAGCCGATAAAAATTGAGTGTGTGTGCCAGCTTTTCTGAGTATTTATACATATACATATGGTTTCCATATAGTGCCATGAGGTTTCACTGTGTGCCCCATCCTAAATACAGGGTAGGGTATACCTCAGCCATAGAGCCCTTGCTATGCACAAGGCCATAGGTTCAATAAATATAATTTTGAAAATAATGGTAGGGTTAGACATGCATCAGCATAATGCTTCCCTTGCATGTGTGAAGCCCTAGAACAATTGTTTCACATAAACATGGTGTGGTGGCACCTGCCTGAAATCTCAGCAGTCAGAAGGTTGAGGCCGTGATCCTCAGATGCATAGGGAGTTCAGAGCTCGAGGTCAGCCTGGGCAATATGGTCATGGAAAAGAAAGAAACCCATGCCAGGGAGATGGCTCAGTGGTTGAAGGCTTCTGCCTCCAAGGCTGACTGCCTAAGCTTGATCCCCACGATCCACATGGAAGGAGAGACAACGCCTGCAAGCTGTCCGCTAACACCTTGACAAGAACATAGATGCACAAGAAACCCTCCCAAGTACAGAGACTTAACTTGCCACGGCCAGGCAGAAAATGGTGACAGCAGAATTGAGCAGTCTGGTGGCTCAGGAGTCTACAGTTCACTGTGCTCTTAAAAGTGAGAGCCCAGACGCCGGCTCTTTCTCATTAGCAGAGTGCTTGCCTAGCATAAGCAGGGCCCTGAGTTCAATCCCCAGCACGGAAGAGGTCCCCAGACTGCTCTAATTAGACCTCTCAAGACTGCATCACAGTTCTCCAGCCCTACTCGGATCAGTGTTTCTTGACCACCTTTGAGAGAAGCCACCTGGAGAACATAAAATGCTGATCTTGCTCCTCCATATAGGGGCTGATCTGTGATACTAGCACTGAGGAGGTCAGAGGCAAGGTAATATCAAGTTCAAGGCCACCGTGGGCTTGTTTTTAAATGATGCAAAAAAAAAAAAAATGCTGGTGGTGCTCAGAACTAAGGGACACCAGATCTATTTCCCTGGGGTAGGATCTGGCTGAGCATGGGTTTTCTTTTTTTTTTAAAGCTCCCCCAATATTCTCAGCGTGCACCAGAGTTGATAGCCTCTAGTCTAGCTATTGTACTGAGCATTTGCACAAGCATCCACCTGCGCACACACATCCATACTTAATATGTATTTCTATGTGTGTCTGCGGTGCTCTCCTGTGTGTACATACATGGTCCAGAGCATCCTTCACTCTTGAGTTCTCGGACACTGGCCGAAGCTCTTAAGGACACAACACCCAACAGTCAGTGAGACAAACGGATTTTTTTTCCCCTTTAAACAGACAGTCTGGTGGAATCATTAAGTTTAGTGTTGTCTCTTCCTATGAATGGCAGGAGTTTGGAATCCCATGAGGATTGACTGACGGAGCTTTGCACACGAGAGATTGCTCTTGTGGTTGTGTTCTGCCCATTGTACAGATGGGAAAACAGGATGTTGTGGTGCAGAGGCAGGTGGATCTGTAAGTTCGAGGCCAGCCTGGTCTATATACAGCAAGCTCCAGGCCAGTCAGTGCTACACAGTAAGACTGTCACAAAGCAAACAAACGTGATAGAGACAGGCTTCATAGTGTGTGCCTGGGTTTGACGGACCGGCTATGTGGTGTCTATGTGTGTGAAGGTGTGTATAATCTGGACCCTGTAAGAATGTGGATAGTGGGGAGGGATGATAGAAAAGGCTCCAGCCTGGAACACTACAGATCCATACGCACACACCTGTGAGGAGGCTGGGTTCCAGTCAGAACCAGGAGAGCTATGCTTTGGGTATGTGGGGGAGGCATAGCTGGGGCTGGAAACTGGAGAGTGGGGGGGAGGGAGGAAGAGAGGGAGGCTGGGGAGAGCCACATCCTTGATCTCTGTTCTGTTTCAGTAGTTCCAGACTTGTGCTCTGGGTCTCTGTGTGGCTCTGGGTGTCCCTCTCTGTAATGTCAGGATCTTGGCATCTGTTTCTCTTCTGGGTCTTGGGCTAGGAGGCTGATCATGTGACTCTGGGTCTCCACCTCTCCAGTCTACTTGGCTCTGTGTTCCCCTTCTGTGTCTCTGTCTCTGCCTCCCTTTCTGCCTCTGTCCTTCCTTGTCCTTGCCAGGTGGGGGGAGGGGCCCAGTACTCAGAGAGCAGGTGTGGGCTCACTCAGGCAGCAGGGAGCTAAGCCCAGGAGGGCCAAGAGCCAGCAGCCCCTGGACACAAGCACACTCCAGGGTACATATTCTGAGTGCTCACGGGAACACACAATGACCTAAGTACAAGGATGGTTCCTGAGGACTTTCACAGGAACAGGCACAGGTACAAAACTAAACAGTCCCTTCCCAAAGCACACAAGGATGCCAGACACAGTGGGTCACATGCAAGCTATCAATGGCTCACACAGACATGCTTCATGAAAAACCCTCAAGGCAAAACCTCATCCAGACACAGAGAAAACCCCAGAGCCACAGATAAGCACAGGGACCCAAACACACACAAAGACACACAGATAAAGAAGATGCAGGCATACGGGTTCACTCAACACTCAGAATCACACACTCAGGAATAAGGAGGGAAAAGCAACCCTCAAGGGCAATCAGAGACAGAGGCACACCGAGGGACCCACGAGGGACCCAGACAGAACAGTCTCAGGTACACACTCCTCCCCTAGGGCTCACTTTGGAGTACTTGGGGACACGCCCATAGGTGACGGGGTGACATGGGCCCTAGCGCACCTGGCGCCCTCGGCGCGCCCCCAGGCGCCAGGCGGCCCTAGCGTGCGTGCCCGTGCCTGCGTGCGTGCCCGCCCGTGCGCGCCGCCACCTGTGGGAGGAGAGGTGCGCACTGCGCCCCAGGCTGCGGTGGGGGGAGCGGTTGCCATGGCGCGCCTAGCGCGGCCGCATACTAATGGGCGGCCACGGGCACTGCCCCCACAGCTGCCCCCCACTGGCCGCTCTCTCCTCCCACTCCTTCCTCCAGCTTCTGCCGTCACTCGGGCGCGCGCCTTCGGCCCACGCGCTCCACGCGGATCCTGAGCCCTTGGTCCCAGGCCACTATCGCCTCATCTCTCCGGCTTTGAGTCCAGCCAGGCCCAAGGGCGAGATAGCCTGACCCTGCGGGGCTACCTGCCTGGGCGGACGCAGGCACCAAGCGGACTTTGCAACAGGAGGAAGCTCCGGTCAGCCTTGGAAATAAGGCGACCACCCTTAGGGAAGGCAGGACAGGGCAAGACAAGGGGAGACTCAGGCCCTGCAGTCTGTCTTGCCATGCGATCGGATTAAAGGCCAACCATAGTGGCACCCTTCCCCTGCTTCTAGCTCCTCCCCAAGTCACGCGTGACTTTGGGCTAAGGGGTAGTTAGTTACCACCACAGCTAGATAGGTCTTCCATCTCTCAGGAACAGCCCCTCGGCCCTCCAGTTCAGCCCTAATAGGGCAAGGTGGGAACTGAAGAGTGCCAAGGCCTGGGCAGAAAGCACACTGGAAGTATCACACCTCCTGCTGGATTCCTGTCCCAAAGCTGCTCTGACTCTCTACCCCACTGTGTTAACTGCCTTGGGGGTGACCGGAGGCCCTGTGGGGTGGGGGTGCCGGCAAAGAGTTTGCAGGTAGAGGCAGTGAGAGGGGAGCCTGATTGGGGGGGGGGGGGGGAGCCAGGCGGTTGCCTAGCAACCCCACAGCTGTCTGTTGACCTAGAAGAAGCTGCGCTGTCTTGACACAGCTGGTGTTTACATGTAACCGAGGCTCTGGCTTAGCGCTTGCTTGGAGCAAAGCTGAGGCAGGGCCCTCGTGGCAGCCTGGCCCCAGCCCTGCCTGTCGTGGGCTCGTGGGCTCCATGACTGCCTGCCCTGTTTGCTTCTCTCCCATCTCAGGTCTCAAGTCCCACAGAGAAGGAGCAGAAGAAATCTCAGGGCTGCGAAGGGCAGAGGTACTTTTAGGTTCACAACCCTGAAGCCTCCAACCCAGAACAGGGAGAGACTAAGGAAAGCACATTGGAGCTTCAGGTATAGCGCAGCAGTGAAGAGCATTTGGTGCTCGTCCAGTGGACACAGGAGGGGTGGTTCCTAGCGCCCACGTGGCAGCTCACAAATGCCTGTCATTTCAGTTCCAGGAGATCTGACGACCTCTTTGGCATGACTTCGTATGGTTAGAGCTAAGAAACGCATGGGCACGCACACGGTACAGATATGCGCATGGTGTGCAGACACACATACACACATTTAAAAACATGGATCTTTAGAGAAGAAAAACAGAAGGAAGCCGCATGCCAGTGCCACAAAGAACACCGACATCCACAGGGACACCTGGTCACAGCCTCTCCAAATCGAAGTGATACTGGCACATGCCAAGAGGTGGCATGT